AAAACTCTTTTATGTATCAGAATCAAAGATCAATGTGCTTTGCAGAAATATGTGCTGTAATTATTTAGAGTTATAGCTAAAAGTTTAGACTTAGCACTTACTTTCTGGCCGAAGATAGTAAAGGTTGGGGGACGTTGTCTGTAGGAATATCTCCTTTGAAAGTTTGCTTTTTTCTATCTAGAACATATAACATAAGGAATCGTTTGCCCTTTTGAATGCAACTTACAGGTACAGAATTGCCTAAAATACAGTAGTGATTTTAAATTTTCGGGCAATGTGACGGTTACAGATTAATATACCGATTTATTTCTCCACTCAGGAAAAACCGACATATGCATATAGATATTTGCTACCGCTGCTATATGCGATATGCATATAGAAAGATAGGTATTGAAGAGACTTACTGATCGCCATATCACACTGTTTTTGAAATTGTATTGGTCTTGTCAACTTACAAGAGCTATAAGTACCTGCTCTAAACTACAGACGATATCATGAAAAAAATGTCGAAGTAAGAATGGTAAGTATTAAGACGGAAGTATAATGTCGTACTGCTTGTTGCTATAAAGTTAGTTTTTTCTTCTGGTGTATTTTTTCTTTAATTTAAGTTTTCTTTGATTGAATTGGTGATCAAAAAAATTGATACCCATGAAAAATGATTACAATGTTGTTATTTTATATGGATTATACTGATCATTATGTATGATTATAGTGACACACGTTAATTATAACAAAGCTGCTATTCACTTTGTGTCCTATACCATTAGATGCGTCTTGAAGGGGCCTACAAAATGGTATGCAATTGAGGAAAAACCAATTTTGCCTGGCATATTTTTTATTCTGCAAGAGCGAAAAAAATCAAAATTCTGGCGGTAATTCGCACTTTTCTTCATCAGAATTCATCTTTTACGCAATAAAAATACCATATTCGGAGTCAGCGTCAAAAACTGAATCGAATAATACATATCTGAAAATTTTTCGTTGATTTACATTTGTGAATACAATAAACGCGACATATACATCCAAAGAGAATTAGCTTCTCATTTTCAGATGTTTATCGATATCGGTAAGATTAATGTTTTTATGGAAATGAGTAATAATCTATCTGCCGATTTCTGATGTGTTATAATCCTTAATTTCCTTTATAGAATCTACGATGTAGATTTTTTTTTGACAAGGATGCACGAATAGTAAAAATAATCAAATACTGTAAAATTTACATATACGAAGTCAAGGTTAATAGAAAAAACCATTGTCCTTTTTTTTAGAATTAAACAGCAATTTATACGTGAACTATATATTATTATCTAAAAGCACAGCCTTACTTGAATAGTATATGATTTCGATTACAATCATCTATTTTTAGGTAAACAGGTAACTCTCAAATTCCGGCAGACATAGAAAAATGTGTATCATTTTTGTCAGTTCCATAGAATTATCATAATATTTTAACTGCCTGGCCTTATACATCGTTTTATAAAGGGTGGCGCAGAATAAATGGGTCAAAACCATTTTTTGTTGGCATTTACGTAAGTTTCTAAGACTTCATTCTAAGCGCATTTAATAGAGAATTTGCTGCTCTACAAAACTATCGACTTAATATTTCAATAAAACGTTTCGTTTCGCCACATAATTTATAACACTGATACTTAGCCATTAGGACAACTGCGGCGGTCAAAAAGCGCAGAATTACAGAATATTTTTTTCGAAAATAATGCTTCAAAATTCCAAGTTTACCAAAATATTCTACGTGAAAGTCTGCATCCTTTGATATATTTTTTTATAATTTTATAAAAAAAAGTTTTTGCTAAAAATAGTCACTAATTTAGAAAAATTCACTGTTCTCGCCAGTCTAGACCAGTATTCTTTTCTTTTTTTCTTTTCCATAAGAAACTGAGAATTATTCATTTTAAAGTCATATGTTTCTGGACAGAATTGAATTCTGCTTTGAATGGTATTGAAATAAAAATTTTAGAGCCTAATTTGGTTTTTATAAATTCACGTTTCTTGAAGTTTTTCTAAAATTATTGCGATATGTTAGTGTTCCAAAATTTTCCGTTAAGGAATAAACGCTAAAACTTATAAAGTTACGTAGAATGATACAGCACAGAATTTTCTATCTACTGAAGTAAAGTACTTCCTGTTTAACCGCGATTCGATGAGCTTAGGACTTCAAAAACTCACGAGAAATAAACGCGTCACAGTTGGCCTGATGACTAATTATCAATGGTAGGAATTTGGTGGCGAAACAAAAAGTTTCATTTTAATATTAAGTCGATAGTTTTGTAGAGCAACAAATTCTCTATCGAATGAGCTTAGAATGAAGACTTGCCAATTTACATAAATGTCTCAAAAACAAAAAATGGTTTTGACTCATTTATTCTGCACCATCCGTTAGATGTGAATATGATAGATAGCTCAAACATTATTATACAGCTTTTATTAGAAAATATCTCCATTCGTGATGTATCAGCTTCTGGAATTTTCGATCTTCTGAACAGCTCTACAAAAAATATTTCGTCATGGCATCTATCTTCTCTCTTCTCTGCAAAGTTCGATCTGATCCAGTGAAGCGAATTAAGCTGAAACTTTTAAGCCAAAAGAACGTTCAGATTTATATTCTCAAAAAAAACTTCATCGTGCTCTGTTTTATGCTTTAAAAGACAAGGTACTCGTGTTCATTTTTACTATAGAATGCCCAAACCTCGTTGTCTTCAAACATCTTTATCGTTGATAGAGTGTACACTGAACACAAAACAATGGAGTACTCCAGCAGATACAATAATATGAGGAGAAATATTGAATGTTAAGTTATCACTATGTTATTTATTTAACTTTCGTCTTCTTTACCTTCTTGACTCTTTTTCGTTTCTTTTTAAATTTAAATTTTCTCACAACCATTCCACGCCACCATGCCTATTGAAAAGGAATACAATAATAGGTGAACAAGATAATAAACAGAGAAACATAATTCTACTTGTATTTGAATGATGGCATCTAATTTACATTGCCTTTTCTCTTCCTCTTTTCGTTGATATTCTCGTTTCTCTCGTTCATCCTGTACAACTTGTTTCATTCTCATATATTCCTTATACATCTCTGTTCTCTGTCTGAGAATATTATTTAAATCTATTCGATATTGTACAACTTCTTTATCAAAACTCGTTGTTTCATCTTCATATTTTTGTTGCCATTTATTTGCATTTCTCTCTGCTTCTTTTCGCTGTATATCTAATAGTCGGACTTTTTCTTTGTGACCAATTTCCATTTGTTTACACGCATTTTCATATTCTCTAATTCGTTCTTCATATTCTAATTCTATTGTTTTCAAATATTCATTCCATTGAGCAATATGATTTTTTTTCCAATCATCACAGTATCTCAATGCAATTTTGGCACGCGTATTTTCTTCCATTAATCGGTCTTTAACTTTAGCTTTTTCATCAAATAGTAATTGTAATTTTTGACTTTTTTCTTTTGAAAAATGTTTTTGAATAAATCGTAACTTTTTTGCTTTATCATACGATAGTTCTAAACGTTCATTGAGTTGTTTCAATTGAGTTGATAATAAATTATTGTGGATGTTCGTAACAAAATTTTCTGCCATATTTGCTTGCGATTCATTTAATAGTGAACGAAAAAATAACATAAGCATTTGTTGAAAATTTTCAATTTCATAACGTAATTTATCTCGTTCACTCATTCTAAAACGACGAGAAACTTATAATCAATATTGAGAATACTATCGTTATATCAAATAGCACACAAATAAATAGTAAACCGTATTACAAAATTTCTTAAAAATACTCTTCCCCTCTTTTTAAACGTTCCATAGAAATGCTATGAAATTCAAATGAGTAGAACTTTACCCTTTTCGAGTTTTTATCTATATAACTTGTATTAATGTTTTTTCGGTATTCTTAGTATAATTTGAGCAGGAAAGGTGTAAAAAAAGAAGCCCATACCAATATCTCTGTACTAGTATCTTGCATATCTGGGTAAAGTTTCTAATCCAGTCATATATTATACCAATATCACACGAACCGTGCTTACGATTTTAACAAAATTTTCCAGAGATGTGTTACTAAATTTCGTTTTTATTTTGTCGCTTTTATCAATAAATTCTTGAGATGGACTATGACGTTTTTTTTGTGGTACTCAAGTAAATACTGAAGTATGTTTTAGACTTAGATTAAGGTCAACTTAAGTCAGGTATTCAAGCCCTTAACTTAATCTTAAACATGATCTTAATTTAAACATTGTCGTATGTCAATGTTATAACAAGACATGCTAAAGCAAACTAGACGTTAACTCAAGCCTGCTCATAACGTAAAAATATGGATGCAACAATTCCCGTATATCTCGTAACTGTCTAGTACAAGTGGAACTATGAAGAAAAAAGGATAAGCAATGTAATAAGTTCAACTAATAAGTTGTAATAAACTGAAGATTAGAGCTAAGCATACTACAGACCTGATAAACTTACTTACATAAATACACCGGCTAAACTGAGCGTCAGTGGATTACAATTGAGTTCATTCTTGTCCATCATTATCGCCGTCCGTTTTTGTTGAGTTGGCGAAGTCGATTTACTTAATATTTGATATGATAGTTCTGTGCCCAATTTTTGATGATATAATGAACTGTCATTTAAGAAGCCTAACAATTAAAGCCTAACAATTAAAGAGATAGTAAATTATTTGCTGTGAAGAGTAAACAGACTGACGAAAAGTACAGATAAAAGCCGACGCGAAGACGCCGATAGTAGAGCGCGGGTGGCACTAAGGTTCAACGACGCTGAGGCATCAAAATTCATTTGGTTCAACACACTAAGGTTCAACACATATCTAGCTAGATTCATTAATCTATCTATTATGATTTAAACGAGTATACTTCAAAAGAGAATCCCCTTGAAATCATTCTAGTATTTCATAGTATAACCATTCTGTTGCTTTGACCACTGCAGTGTAAGTGTAGTAGTATCATTGCATCCAAACGTCAAAATATGAAACAAATACCTTTAATTTGTCACTAACTGAACATATTAAAAACATTTTATAGCTGAGCGCATACTTCTACTTAGATCCATTTTTATACGAAGTCAATCGTGCGTACGCCCTCCTTCTAATTATATTGATAAATACCATATTTTATTGGTTTTTTCATTAATTCATCAGCATTAGCGTCAAAATGTTGTTCATAATCTGTTAATTCATTATTTTTTGCTCGCGTTAATTCTTCCCTTAATATATCTAATTCATCAAACGTATCTTCAAATACAGCCGCTATTTCGTATCCTCGCAGTTTTAATAATATAGGATTTAAATTGATTATTGATGACGAGGAGGATAATACCAAATTGGATCTTAATTCACCTAGAAAACAAAAACTATATACGTTATTCAGCCTCAAATGCATGACTTCTGTTGATTCTTTCAACAACATCGGTTAAGAGAATATGAAATACGAATATAATATTCTGACAATTTTTTTTTTCATTCTATTAGGGCACTTAATTACTATTACCTGTTTTTAATTCTGTGGGTGATGTGGATGATTTGGAATATGAATGTTCAAATGTCACACATGGCAACTGCTGAGTTTTCAATGTTGTGTTCGATGATAACTTATGGTAATTTGATATTTTCAACGTACTCTGTGGTGATAATAATGTTTCTCTACGAATGTCTGACGTTCGAATGACGGATAATGTTGTCGGTGTCGCATTTTTACTAAGTTGTAATTCCATATTAGCGCATTTCATTGCTAATTCTTCAAGTATTTTTTCCATTTCTGGACTATACTGGAACCAGTCTTCATCTTTCATATCTGACTTCATGTTTCATACAAAAATTTATTCACAAGTTCAGTATCAATCTCTTATTTTTATCTATTGTAAGATCTTATAAAAAATTGACTACATAACGTCCGTATGAGTCATTCGTTGATAATTGTTTCTACTGAAAAGCTAATGAATAGATAGTGACTTGATGTATGCCACATAATAGCAGATTAACACGTGCTTTGTTGCGTTTTTACAACATTTATTTTCGTTGTACACAGAATACGATTGAATGTTATTGTGATGAAGTTGTATGTACGAAATTAATTCTCTTATGATAGGATGTACGTTTGGCATTTAGAATAAAACGTCTTAATCCTCATCTTCTCATATGGATCAGTTTACTGTCCCAATCAGCTTGTCAAATAAATAGTAAAATTATACTCATACGAGTTCTGAACAAATTTCATAAAATCGTCACTTACTTATAGTATACTGGAAAAAATTTTGTTTATGACATAGAAACATAGAAACGATTTTATTATTGCCCACTCATTATATATGTTTCCAATCGCAATTTAATTTTTATATCTTTTTCTCAAACAAATGTTTTTGTTCTGGAGAACAAAAATTAATCATCATTATTATCATGAATTTTATTCATTTATGCTTTTTGTTTTTGTTCGGCCTGTCACATCATTTAAAACAAATAACAGGAAAAAAAAAATCAACTTTACTCATTTCATTTTTTTTGTCAAAACTAACAAACAACCAAAAAAGAAAAAAACGATTAGTGATGATAAGAACAAAAAATATATATGTAGATTAGAATACGAAGAGAAATAATCAAAAATAATGAGTGCAATCAATTTTTAAAAAAAAATTACAGAAAAACCCAACAATAATTTGTGTATTGAGGTGTGACTTCAAATAAAAAATAGAAAATGCTTTCTCTCTCGTTAGATATATCCTACTTATGCCGTATTTACATGAAAAAGAAAATGAATAACAGCAACAACAACAACAACAACAACAATCACGGATATCGTGAATAGGATGAGAGTGGTTCGTATTTAATAGTGTATGTGTGAAAGTGGAATGATGCATTCCGGGAATGAATGAACCAGTTCATTCAAAAGATAAATAGATAGAATAGTTTTCAGAACAAATAACTACAGATAAACAAACGTTATTATATATGCATGGTTAAAAAATAAATTAGCAACAAAATAATCAAGTAAAAAGACGATTATGTGGTCTTATCAATTTTTAGACAGGAATAAAATGAAAAAAGATGCGATATTGAAAATATATAAACGATAAAACATTTTCTCTGACAACAACAGTAGGACAGATAACATAATGAATTCGTATCGATGAACCATGTATTCGTTTTATTTCTTTTGTTGACCAGTCTTGTCTGAGTACACTGTTTTTGATAAATAAAAAGCTTAGCTTTCTCATCATAGAAATGAAACGAATACCTTAATAACAACAATTAATTAGTAAAACTTGCAAATGCGTACCGTTCAAGAAAAAAATGAAAATTTTTCTCTATTTTAGAACACCAAGCACGCACACAAGAAAAATAACAAGAAAAAAACGAATAATATTTTTCTTGGCATTATTATATCTATTCTAGGAAAGAGAGAACGAAAACATGTCGAAATAAATAACGAAGAATAAAAACGACAACAATCAATCGTTTGCTTCTAAAGGATAACAATAAAATCACGCGGGCATAATGGAGACAATTAGGACACCGTAATAATTGTGTAATGCAATATTCGTCCTACGTTATCCTTTCACTTTTTGACTTGTTGAATTAAACGTGTTTGATGTCGTTGTTTGTTGTTGTTGTCTACAATCGTTTGCTTGCGTTTGAATTGGTACTGGTACCGTTGTATTAGCAGCTGCTGCTAATAAATTAATTGTTGATTCTTTTTGTTTTGGCGATGATGATAATGCATTATGCATCATTACTGGACTGCACGCCAAAGGTGATGTTAAATCTGAGTTAATATCTTCGATCAATAAATAACACTTATCACAAACACGTACGGGATTTAACAAATTCAATGTTGGAATCGGTTTATAATGTTTTGCACAACTATGACAGAATACGTCTCCGCATCGTCTACAGAAAAAAACGGAACAGATTAAGATTCAGCGTGTGTACACTATGAAAATTAAATTACCTGCAATGATGTTTCCGTACCTGAAAATATAAAATGGAACACGATAATATTAAAGAAGATAAATATATTGTGTACACGTACCACTGGCCAAAAAAATTTTATACTACAACCTTGACAACCTTCGACGGAAAAGTCCGGTATCCATCGAGTAACATCTCTTATCGTGTCAGATGTATCTATTTTCTGCCAACTTGCACAAGAGGACGAATCGGTTGTGCTAAAGGGACTTTGAGATATATTATCCATTCTTGGTGAAACATTCTAAACAAAATACAAAAATATTAAACACAAATAATGTTTATACACTATTTTAACTGAGTGCTCGATAGCTAATATCCAAAACACTTGGTTCTCATTTAAAAGGTCTAAATCTTTGTCAGTTATTGTTTTGAACAACGAACATTACTATATCATGAAATTACCTGAGCTGGTATATTATATTTAATAATAGTTGTTAGAACACGTTCCAGTTTTCTAACATGATCATGTAGCTCTTCGATTTTATTCTATTTGAAAAATAAATAAAAAGATATTATTGAACATATTAAGATGAATATTAACTACAAAAAACGTTTTTTTGTCAAAAACTTACCACGTATGTTCGTTCTTTTTGCAACATTCTTAATGTTGCGACATCATTTATTTTTGTTAAACCATCGATATCAATACGTTTTCTGACAGATTTTACTGACTTGTCACCATACGAGGAAGAAGACGATAAATGCTGCAACTGAAATAAAGTAAAACTAAAATAAATGTTTATATTTTAAATATGTATAGGTCAGTTTCATACGAACATAGTATTTTATCAGTTCTCTATGAAATAAGGAAATATTTTCAGAAGAAACATGACATATACCCAACGGCGACTATCAATAAGAGGACATCTCCTATATCATGATCGGGATATAAGGCACAAAATTTTGTCGTAAAAACGATTAAGGGAAAAAGTTGACCTCACCATTAGAAAGAGCTGGAAAAACTACACCAGATGCTGTTGTGTTTGATTAAAAGTCTACCAGGCACCCAGTAACTAGTTTTTCGAACAAAACTTTTTAACAAACTTTAGTCGAATTTATATCCTGATCGAGGAATAGGTGATTAACCTTTTATTGCTCAGAATGGGATATACTCCTGATCTAATCGCTTTAAACACCGACCATCTTTTTGCGATTTCTTTCTTTTCGATAAACGCATATATTGAAACACATTTCTTTTCTGATGCGAAGACAATATATAAATACACGTGCTTTATGCTTAACAAGGAATTTTCCAACTATTGATTCGCGCAGATAAACTGCCTTACGTTTTTTATAAGGAAATGACAACTTGCTGTATCTTTTAAAACGCGTAGCAGTCATGATGCTAACATTTTTGAAGATACCAAAAGAACATCATCATTCCATCCATTGCGACACTTATACTCATATTACCTGGTGCAGCAACACCTCTTTCAAACTAATTAGATAAACCATGATGCGACAGTAAATTACTTTAATCAACAAAAATCAATCAATGGGGATATCGAATTATATCCTGATCGGGATATAATTTCAAACTATATCCCGTTCCGAATATTAAAAAAATTTTGCTGTAAAAAAAAGATATCCCAATCAGGATCTCTCCATACTGACTATGATCATTTTCAATATATTCCACTTTTGTAAGTGGTCATTAAATACAGCTTACCATTTTGTGTGGGGTGTTATTATTATCTAATGACGATATTTTTGGTAAAGACCATGCTTCTGATAAACTGGACGTTGTACTTGATGTGGAATTTGTATGTTTTCTTGCTGACATTGGTTTTAATACTGTATTGGTATTTGATGAAAATTTTTGCGATAATGATAATTGTGGGATGTTCGGTGCTGAATCTACAACTGAATCATATATCGTTGCACTATTATTTAGATGATGATGATGATGATAATCTCCACCCCTGCGATGTCCGTTGATTAATGAATTTGTTGCCGTCGCTATACTTGGTGTAGCTATACTGCTTAATGCTGGTAATAAACTTGAATTACTTCCACCATTTTGTGATGGAGTTTCGCCAAGATGATGAGGCGGACCGAATAAACTATTTGATAACGATGAATTTGAATTTAATAGGTGACCACTATTTTGATGTTGTAAAGTCATACCGACATTATGATTACTAATAGTGATGGGTGGAGTTGTACCCGTACGTAGTGTGATAGATGATTCCATACTACCACCCAGTGATGGATCCGACGAGGAACGATGCAGTCCGTTTAATACTGAAGATGATAAATCTTCATAGGAACGACAACGAGGTACTAATGACGAAGTAGACGATGGCAATTCACATGGAATGGATGGTGTAAAACGTGTATCACGTAAATATAAATTAGTCCATATTTTCAAATCGCGTACAGAGTATGATGGATATAAAGCCTAAAAGATAAAAAAGAAAAAATGTTCATTTAATTTTCTTAAAATATTTTCTTTTATACAACTCACTTCTTTCTTAGTGTCATCGAATAAATGATTTATTAAGTGTGTTAATTTCATATTTAATAGACTCCATACACTATGTGTCTTCTTTTCCAAATTAACTGTGAAACGTTCAAAATCTGTATTACATAAAAATGTGCCATGTAAACATGTGTAAGTATGACTGGCTAATTTAAGCTTAAAGAGATAATAAACATCAATAACAAAATAAGTTATTCTAATCAGAATGTATAAAAAAAAAGAGTTAACATACCAAGAACATTTCATTGAACTCGAATGATACTGGATTTTGTACCTGCAACTGGTAAACACAATCCAACCATTGGAGAAATACTGGACTACGTTCATTTGGATCAGTTGCTCCGACTCCATGACCACAACGATCAGCAAACTTGTGTCCGAATGCAATCCATTCACGTTGAATTAGAGTTTGAAAACCCTAAAATAGAAGAATTTTGATAATACAAATTATAGAAAGTACATGAATAAGTCTCACTTCAATTGTTCGATAGTGTGGATCCAACATAATTTGAGCAAGAGCTGTAATTTGTGGTGTACGATCCCAACCGTCTGAACAATGGACTAGCACTGGACGTGATTGTTTATCGATTGCTGTTGCCACAAAACTAGCTGCAGCTAATAATAATGATATATTGTGAAGCCATCGTGAAGACTCCAGTTGTGATAACCAACTAAAATAATACAAGCGGCAGTGTGCAATAGTCCCAACACTTATGCAGTAATTACGTAAAATTAGGAAACATACTGACTTAAAAGGCGACAAAGGAAAATAGCTTGTACAAATAATTTCTCCATTTTGGATTAGAAAATATTCTTTTTTTCTCTCTCAAAATCATCAAAAAGCGCCTATATAATATAACAAGATAAAATTACCATTCTCCAGGTCCACTGGCTATTGAAGCTCTTAACGTTTGTGCACTTTTCCGAATGGCATGTATATTGGGCAAATTCATAAACTGTACTTCGCAATCCGTATAATAGGGTGGATACTCAAAGCCTCCACCTTTGGCACGATTTGCAATTGCTGCAGCATAACTACGAGCATCAAGTATTAATAAACGATTTGAACCAAGTTCACCAAAAACAGAAGAGAAATATTCATTAATAATAACTCCTTTTTTTTTCTTCAAAATTTTAACTTACGATTAGGATCTGTACCACAAGATTCAATAATGGCTGCGATCATTTTTTCATCTTCTTTGGAACGCCAAAATAACCATCCAACTTCAGGCTGACTAGTTCGAGCAATAACAGCTCCATTTTGATGTCTAAAAAATTAGAAGTAATAAATTAAATTTCTAAAACATAAGATTGTTTAGCATATAGAAATATATGATATAGAAAATCGTCAACGTTATATTTATTACGGGAATAGAAATAATTAAATAACTCAGACAAACCTCCATACAACAGTTGGAAATCTTCTATATGATCTAAATTTAGCCACTTCATTTAATTCTTCATCTGTAATTGATGCTGGAACTATACAATATTCAGGATAACTTGAACATAATTTATATTTTTTATTTATGCTTGTTGAACGCCATGGATGTGAGTCTAATTGTAATCTTGATATTTCTTCCTGAAATCGATCTCGATTATGTTGTGTTTGTCGTTCTCCCTCAGGTATGGGTGTGGCTTGGGCAAATTTGACAGCGAATAAATCATCAATCGTTAATGGCGGCGAGATTGAATCAGATATTTTTTTAAACCATAACGAACATTTCTCTCCGGTAAAAAATGTTAAACGAAAATATCGAATATCTTTACAATGAACGTATAAATAAAGGTTATCTTTAATTTCAATATAATCAATTAAACGTGTAGGACAATTAATAAATGAGCTGTCATTTGAAAATATAAATAGACGATAACATGTTAAATAAATCAGACCATCGGCCGATGAACAATGATGAATGACATCTTCACCTGGTAATAACTCGAATGGTAATTCATTTACATTTGTTGAGGATGGTTCTATTGTACTATTTGAGCCATTTGATGGAACATTTACCGAATAACTTTTTAATGCTGGTAATTCATTGATCACATGTAGATCATCATCTTCAACTGATGATGGAACAACCATAATAGTTTCGATATGTTAAATATATGAATAGAATATGAAAAGAAAATTCAGACTGCCTTGCGTTTACATACACCTATGCATAATCTAAAATGAAAAATTATGTCATACATTCTTTATAACGCATCTTTCTGATGAAACTAAAATATTGTCTTATATACTATGAATAAGATCACAAGAATTCTTCGAAAAAATTATAGAGGATGGTGAAGATAAAAAATAATTTCTTCATCCGGGAAGTGGATAAGAGTAAGATGTTCAATTAACAAGGTTAGTTACTTTCTTATTTCATTTTATCATAAGGATAGCTCATAGACTAGCGCACAATGTCTACTGTAGACGCAACCAAGCCGGATCGATGCCTCTTTATGAGAGTGATCAAGTCGACTTGGACTATGATATTTGGTTTACAATGTTTCATAGTCTGGAGAGTATTGAGAGGTAACATCAATGCGATGTTTCTTTAGTTTAATTCAGTAACATTTCTAACTGTGAAATTTCTGAACAGAGGGTCGAAAAGTACCTGTCCCCATTGAAAAATGATCCTTCTCAATTATGTGAATGGAGAAGCTCTGCGAAGAGAATGCAGTTAGTAATGTTTGATTGACACCTTTTTTTCTCAATGAGTCATATATCGTATGAGAGGGTCAGAACACAAAGAATAATTTTTATCCGTAGTACAATCAAGCATATGTGTAATAAATATTGCGATGAATGAGAATTTATAAAAAAAAAAGTATAAAATAAAGAACACATCATATTTGTTGTTTTTGATTGTATTACGATTTTAGTTCTTCCTTGTTGTCTGTTAATTTTGTTTTTTTCCTACATTCCATTAGTAGAAATGTAATGCGTTACATTGCTCACATTTTTTTTCCATATTGATATATATATATGTGTCTAGACGATATGCGTCCTAATCGTCCAATCAACATATTGTAGAAAAGTCACTTGATTCTGTAAGTTTATAGCTTGAACAGGAAAAACAGTCGGGAGTTAAATGAAATGACTAGTCGTAAATGTAACGTGCACTAGTCAATTTTACGTCAGTGACTCAAGATGCTGAAAAGTTGCGCCATCTACTGATAAGTGATGTTAAAAAACAAACATTTTAAATCTTTTGTTTATCACGTGCATAAAAATTCGAATGTGGATTATGAATAACGCTTTTCTTTTCAGTCCTTAAAAATAGATTTCGGGATTTTCCACATTTAATTCTTCCCTATACAAAACACATGTTACAAAAGATGAAACTCTCAGAAAAGTTCCATGGAAGCTTCCATCGTAACTTGAATTATACAAAGAAATACGATGAATATAAATTATTTATCGATTGCACTTACCCTTTTTTTAACAAATCATTTGAAAAAATCAATTATAAGCTGTGTGCGTTGGCTAGCTATTCTGCATACAATTACACGAAGCGTGTTACCCTGTGTCAAAACAAAATAAACACTTCTAAATTCATGGTTTTGTTATTTATTTATTTAGACTTATTTCTGGATAAAATACTTTCTCAAAGGATGTTCTTGAAAGACGGACGATAAAAATGGCGTTTTTATCCATTCTTTTATCTTCAAATAAAACGAGAACTAAATATTGTTTATTTTTAAAATGAAATTTTTAACGGTTGAGGTCGGATAAACACTTTAAGTGTGTATGTATTTTTGTCATACGTCTTTTAACGACATTTCATTCGTTTTTAGTTGCTTCAGCATTAGACACCTTTTCGATATAAGAAAAATGGGTATGTGCCCGTTTTTTTCAAAAATTCAGCTGTTTTCTTTTTGTTGTTCTTTCACTCTTTCATTATTGATATAGTTGTCTACTCACTTTATTTTTAGAATTTTCCCATTTTAAGTACACAAATTCTACATCTCTTTCATAAATGAAGCTTCAACATTCTCACAGTACACAACACATTGAACTTCATCAATTTCGATAAGAAAAAAAGAGAATGACTAGGCGTTCGCCATTTGATAATAATACACGTGACGGATACACTAGAATAAGAGAAGAACAACGCGGAAGTGGATTTATACATGGGAATAGTTCAAGACCCCAAACGTTTAATACCCATTCACAACAAAATTCAGGTTCAGCAAATAACCGGTATAAACTCAGTAAATGTTTTGGTGCTATATTTCTTCGTTCTATGGTTTTTTCTATTTAGCCAACAAGAAAGTTCTATACAAAATGAAACCAGATACGGTGGCGGACGTGGTAACAATATTCGAGCTACTTCTGGGGGAGTGCGACATACAAATCGACGTCAAGTATTGAGAACACAACCATCGTCTCTTTCAAACAGTACAACTGGTGGAAAAACAACAGAAAAGTAACTATACACTAGAATAGTCACTGATTACATGAATTGTAAAAAGGGCTCATATAATAAATTAGATGGATACCCATGTTTTCAATTGTGATAAACTTGCGTCACAATGTTATCGTATTTTGTCGAACCATACGGATGAATAGCGCACAGTTCTTGCTATAATTATATTGCAGCTAAAAGTCGTGGTAATGATATAACAGAGCGGACTTTCTAATTTAAGTTATAGTTTTGTTGGTAAATAGATTTTTTTGAAAAAGATTTTATAGGTTTGAGTTTTTAAATTAAAATACTCGTAGAAACTTTTGTTGCAAAATTTCAGAAAATTCGGTTCTATTAAGTCATTCCTATATATTCTTACAATTTAAAAAAATCTCTAGATGTGAAACACCTGATTTAGACGTTGGGCAATTTCCGAGATGAAATGATCAACAAACACGGAAATGATCTTAAATATTATTTGATAATAGAAACGACAATTTCTGTTTGTCATATTATTCTACAGAACTCTAACTTGACAATAGAAGACTGATGACTGATAACCTAATTTTATTTGTGTTTGTTTAGGGCATCCGATTTACCACACATAGGCTACAATATGTTACTTGAAATGTCAAATAAAGAGCCAGATATTCTGATTATTGATGTGTTGCGTCCGTATTTTCAATTTAAAACATTTTTGAACGATGATCGAATGAAAATAAAATACGATTGGATAAAAACCATGACAGATATTTTAGAAAAAATCATTTCATGCACTGAACAACGTGAACGTGTTGCGCAAATCTTATCTATGATATTAGGATCAAAATATTTGGATGGTGTTCATGAAGAAATTAGAAAACCCGATAATAAAACAAAACAGTTAAAATATGATTTTATTCATTCGTTTTTAAAGATTAGTGATTACATGTTAACTATCATGCCTCATAGTGAAAATGATCTCAGTAAAATTATCGAACGTGTACAAGTTACATTACCGAAAATGATTGAAAGTGAGGTATGTCGATTTTTGTATCGTCATTTGGTGACTTAGGGAGTAAGGTTTTCATACAGTTAATTATATTAAAGTCGCTTACTTGTCTCGCTGAAGGCAAAGATATTACTTTAGTATGAGTGTTTTCTTTTTGACTGATAATATTTTTTCGATAGTTATTTTATTCAAGTAAATATTGTAGTACGTGAGAATGTAGTTTAGAAAATAGAATATTCATTGCGAATATAAGAGCAGGTACTTAGTTACACAGTCTAACTTCACTTAGATTCGTATAGAATGGTAGTTATGTATTTTTCTCTTCTAGAACGTTCAAAATATTAAATTGTTACTCGACAAGGTTCTTGCAAATTCCACCGCAATTTATGAACGGAAACAACAACAAACAAGTTCAAAAGCTACAACTCATCATCATAATTCACTTGGACCACCACCAAATAACTATCGTGACTTAAGTGTGATACCAACAATGAATGAAATATTAGAACAACAAACAGTCTATTTACGAGAAAATATCATTAACGGTGTTTATGAATCAGCCGACCATTATTTAGATGTCCATTTTCGTTTGTTACGTGAAGATTTTGTTGAACCGTTGAGAGAAGGAATAGATCATTTTATTTGTGCAAAAGAACAGCGTAATTTGAATGTTCGAATATATAAAAATGTACGAAATTTAGGACCTAGAATAACAAAATCGAGTTTAGTCTATGAAATCCAATTAGACCCACAGACAACATCAAAAATTTATTGGGAGAATAGTCGACGACTTATTTATGGAAGTTTATTAGCAATTACAAATGACGGATTTAAAACATGTGCTTTGGTCACGGTTGAAGATCGTACAGATATCCAAAAGAATTCAACTCTATTTGTAGGTGATCTATATTGTTCGGGAATTCTGCCAGTTCATCTATTTTTTCCTTGTTTTAGGTTCGTGGTCATTATGGAATAAATTACAATGCCAATCATCTCCATATTTCTCAATTGCTATTGTCTAGTCAATTAACAATGTTAGAAACAACTGCCTATTTCGAAAGCTATCGTCCCGTTCTTTCTGCTCTTCAACAAATCCAAGCTGCTCAATTTCCATTAGCACCATATATATTGAAGTTAGATAAAGATGTTATACCACCATCTTACGTTAATGCTACAACAAAGTACGATTTTACGCCATTATTAGTCAAACCAAATGCACGTGTAACAACAACAACAGCAATGGGTGGCCAATTCAATATTCAATATTCTGAAAATGTACAACGAACCTATACATCTGTTACATTATTAAATAAAGATGAATGGCCAACAAGTGAACAAATGAAACTAAATTCATCACAACGTGATGCACTTGAACTGGCATTAACCAAAAAAGTTGCACTTATACAAGGACGTAAGCATCTTCATTAGAATAATAATCATAGATCAATAACAATCGGATGTTTTATTTCTAGCGCCTGGCACGGGTAAAACATATCTTGGTGTTAAAATAGCGGAGTTACTGCTTTACAATAGATCTATTTGGTGTCGACCTGGTAGTACATCGACGCCTATACTTATGGTCTGTTATACAAATCATGCATTAGACCAATTTTTAGAACAAATTATATCTCGTCTCAATTTGACTGATGGTATATATATATATGACTTTAAATTTCCTTATTTTTAAAATCATTTCTAAATTTCTAGGTCTGATACGTGTCGGTGGCCGATGTAAAAATCCTGTTATTCAGCCGTTTTCATTGATAGAAGCGCGAAAGCGTTCTCGTGAACATCGTCTAACACCTAGACATTTATTTGAACAAAAACGTCAAATAATGAATAAAAAACATGATGCTGAAAAAGCAGTGCAAGAGAAAGAAGCACTTATCAAACAATCAAAGACAAATATTTTACGTTTATCACTATTAATGACTGAAAATATAATTGATGTTGATCATTGGACATCATTATTATCAAGGAATAGGGGCTCTTTATCGGAAACAGTTCTTATTGACTGGCTCGGTATAGGAACGAACGTTTTTGACGATGATGAAAGCAACAATTTACTTGAAGTAATTGAAAGCGATATTCCAATTCCAATTATTCCAAAATTATTAATGGGCCAAGGCAAACCAGGTAAATAGAAACTTTTCACGCTAAACTATCCTTCATAAATTTAAATATTCCTCTCATATCTCAAGAAGCTTGGTCTGTTCTTGCTGTTTTCTATAATGACTTTCTTTTTTTAAACAGATCAAGAAGCAGAGGATCGGCGACAGTTAGAAGAGGCTATTCGCATGTCGCTAGAAACGAATGACATACAGCTTGAATCGATACAAAATGACCAAGAAGATCAAAATGAAGAGGAAGAAGAAGAGGAAAGACGACGTTTGGAGGATGTAGAAATCGATGAGGAATTTCATTCGTTTTCATCAAAATCATCGTTATCGTCACAGTCTTCTGTAACATCAGAAGATGTTAATGTTGGTGAAGCAAATGATAAAGAGTACGAATGGCACTCCGCTATGAAGAATAGAAAACGAAAACAATTAATATCTAAAATAATCAATACACGTACAACGTTAACGGATGATGATGTTGAACAAATTCACGAAAATTTATGGAATTTGTCAATGAAACAACGTCGTAATTTGTATCAATATTGGCTGTCAAAATTTCAACAAAACTGTGCCGGTATGCTATTCATTTTTTTTAATTGTGTGATGAAATCGTTCGTTTATTACACTATTGGTGAAAGGGTAATGATATTTTAATATGCGCTACGATGATTTTTGTTAAACAAATATAAACTTGTGCATAACCAAAAATAACCCCTATAAAAAATCATTATGTACTAATACGTAATATCGACACTCCTCGCGATATTATAACATATTATTGTATCATTAGTATTTTCTACTGTTATCAGATTTAATTGAACATGGTCGAAAATTATTTGAAGAATGTTCTCGAGAATATCTTGATTATTTAAAACTTGAAGATTATCAAATATTGAAAGATGCTGTCATTGTAGCAATGGTAAGATTTCATTGATTGTTAAAACATAAATTAAATTATTTATTTAATATTTCTTTTTAAGACGACAACATGTGCAGCACAATATTTCAATGTTTTACAAAGATTAGGTTAGTTAACGATTATTATATTTTGTAGAATATATTGAATTCTATTAGTTATACCAAAAAGAGACCTATTTCTGTATCAAATACATCAATACTATCATAGCTTTCGATTTCTCCCTGGAAGTAGAACAATTTGAAATTTTACAAACAGTGACTATTAAAAGTAGAATGTTTATTTGAAATTTTGAAGCGTTGTTGTTTTATTGATAGGTAGTAAAATAGTGATCGTAGAAGAAGCAGCCGAAATATTTGAAGCACATGTTATATGTTCATTGAGTCCACAATGCGAACATTTAATATTAATTGGAGATCATGTTCAATTGCGTCCAAATCCAACAGTTTATCGATTAGCAAAAACATTTAACATAGATGTATCTCTTTTTGAGCGTTTTGTTCAAAATAAATTTCCGTCTGTTCGATTAAATATACAGGTACGTATATAACACGATATACTTTTAAAAATATAGTTTATTTTATTTAATAATTATATTTATTTTAGCATCGAATGCGACCAGAAATATGTGAATTGATGAAACATTTTTATACTGATTTAGAAAATCATGATAGCGTTAAAACTGAACGTGAACAAATAGTGGGAATTAAAGATAATTTATTTTTTATTAATCATTCATATAATGAGGAAATTGTTAGTGAAGGAAGTTCAAGAAGTAATCCATATGAAGCACATTATATCGTTGAATTAGCCTATTACTTAATTAAGCAAGGTTATACAACATCACAGATAACAATATTAGTGATGTATTTGGGACAACGACAACTAATTGTAAAATTAACAAGACAACGTCCATTGTTAAAAGGGATAAAAACAATGACAGTCGATAATTATCAAGGTGAAGAAAATGATATTATTCTGTTGTCATTGGTTCGAAACAATTCAACAAATGATATTGGATTTTTAAAAATAAAAAATCGAATATGTGTAGCACTGTCACGAGCGAGATGTGGATTTTATATTTTTGGAAATTTACGCATGTTACAAGAAGCTAATGAAATGTGGAAAAATATTGCAACAACATTAATTGCGATGGACGCCGTTGGAAAAGGTAATGTATTTTTCTTTTGTTATTGTGTATAGAAACATTATGAAATCGACTTATATATGTAGTGGTTTTGAGAAAGATTTTTAGACTAAACGAACAAGTTTTCACAGAGATATAAGACTTATGAGGAACTGAAACTGCTGATTATTCACTGAATCAAAAAATAAAATAAAATTTTTGTGTTTTTCTGGAGAATTTGTTTGTTCCCCCCCGAAAACTTGCTTTACTATCTGGGTGTATCAGAATGGATAGATCGTGAGAGATCTGGTTTTTACAAAGTGGTTTATATAAATCTTGGGAGACTTATTAACAAATAGCAACACACACATCAAATTCAAGATCAGCTTCAAAAACAAACCTTGAAGAACTATGTTTTATGAAACTGGTGATCTTATTGTCTGAGAAAGTTCCTTCGTCAACTTGGTGCTCATACCTATAATTACCAGTCTATCGTCTGATCTTATTGAAGAGAGTAAACATTGGCAAACTTCACACTTGGATGAAATGTTTCTAATGGATGTGTGATAATAACAATGTTTTTCTCTTTTATTTCAGCATTACGTCTTGTTTGTGCTCGTCATCCAGATGATTTATTTTTTGCCGATTCTCCACAATCATTTTTAAAACGACCAGAAGGCGGCTGTGATAAAATGTGTGATGCACGATTAAAATGTGGCCATCAATGTGTTCTATGTTGTGTAAGGTTTTTGAAAATTTTTATAAGGAAAAAGATAACTATGATCAAACATTTTTATTTTAGCACAATTATGATCAACAACATGAAAAGATTGAATGTAAAAAACAGTGTAATGATCGTTTGCCTTGTGGGCATTTATGCAATCGTTTATGTAGTCATACTGGAAAACATGGTCCATGTCGTGTCATGGTTGAAAAGGTCATTGCTGATTGTGATCATTCAGTGAAAGTTCAATGTTCAGTGATACCGTCAAGAAACGATTGTAAACAATTAGTTCCTGCACGTTTACCATGCGATCATTTAGCAGATGTACTATGTAATATTAAAGAAACAAAATCCTATGATTTGATCGAATGTAAAGCACCGTGTCAGAAAGAATTATCGTGTGGTCATCGGTGTAGTGGATCATGTGGAAAATGTCAATACGGACAGTTGCATGTACCTTGTCAACAACGATGTGATCGATCATTACTGTGTGGTCATGTGAGTATTTTTATTTATACTTTATTTAACTATAACTCTTATTTTTTTTCTTCTTTTTGCTAGGTTTGTAAACAGCCATGTAGCAAAAATTGTCCACCATGTTCGCGAAAATGTGAAAATTGTTGTGTTCATTCACGTTGTTCAAAGATTTGCTCGGAACAATGTGTACCATGTAAAGAGCCGTGTGTCTGGCATTGTGAACATATTCAATGTAATAAATTATGTTTTGAACCGTGTAATAGAGAACCATGTAATAAACCATGCAAAAAATTATTGGAAAAATGTCGTCATCCATGTATTGGTCTTTGTGGTGAACCGTGTCCGCCACAATGTCGAATATGTCATCGTAATATTGTAAGAGAAATATTTTTCGGAACAGAAGATGAAGATGATGCTCGTTTTGTTATGTTATCCGACTGTCCACATTTCTTTGAAGTCACCAGTCTTGATCGTTATATAAATGATTTTATTTCAAAACAAAATACTACTGATGATCAAGGAAAATCAATTCGTTTACCAGAATGTCCAAAATGTAAGAAACAAATTCGTCGTTGTACAAGATATAATCGTACTGTAAATGAAATTCAAACATGGATAGAAAAAGTAAAAATAAAACAACAAAATGGAAATACAGCTGATCAAATAAAAAAACGTCGTGAAAAATTAACATTATCTATTCAAGATTGTATTAAAACTTATTCTCATGAATATATTGATTCTTATCGAAATTTGTTTAAAATATTATCACCCACACATCCACACAAATATTTAAATTCAGAAGAACTCGATTATATTGAAAATACTTGTAAATTTTTAGATGAAATGAATCGATTATTAGATAATGCTAAAAAAAATCTACATTCAACAACCATTCCTCAATATCAACAAGTTAATCGTTATTTAGTTAAACTTAATGCATACATGTTTAATTGTTCATCTCGTTATGTTCCACAACAATTAAGTGATATTCGTCATGAATTACATCGAATAGAACGTTTTATTTTTATTGTATCATTATTGAAACAAGTTAATGAACCACCAACAGCAAGAACATTGAAAATGAATGAAAAAGAAACATTGGATGAATTACGAACATTAACAACTAAATATGAACAATTTACAGATCAAGATTGTGAACGATTTGATTTATTACGTGAACAAGTTAAACATCTATCAAATATAATTGGTCTGGCTATTACCGATAAAGAACGACTTGAAATTGTTGGTGCATTAAATTTACAACGAGGACATTGGTTTATCTGTCCCAAAGGTAAAATAAAATAATTATTTGTTAAAATTTTTTGCATAAAGACACAAAAAACTTTGTTTACTTAACGAGGCATAGTAGAAATCTTTGTCATCGTTAAGTGACACAAAAAAATTCACTATTGGATAGTTTAATTAGTTTTCTCAATGATCATTTTTAATTATTTTCTCGAATATTTATAACTTAAAATAATTGTATTTAAGGTCACCCGTATATCATTACCGAATGTGGTGGTGCCAGTCAACGAAGTCGGTGTCCAGAATGTAATTCAGAAATTGGTGGTGAAAATCATCGACTTCTTTCGACAAATCGACATTTTAGTTTAATGGATAATTCATCGCATGCAGCCTGGTCAGAAGAAGCTAACGTGGCAAATGGCCCAGATCCCTTATTCTAAGATTAACTTACGCAGATAATCCATATTTTACTTTATATATAATATTTTTTTTAATATTTTTAAAATATTCAATTATTTAATCTTAGACAAATTAACTCTTTCTTAAGTATTTTTGACTATATTTTACTTTGGAAATAATTCACACTCGTGTAATTATTTTTTATTTTTTTCTTCAAAAGAACAGTTGTTTAGTGTAGCTGCTGACTCAGTCAAAACCTGGTGATATATAAACATGGTTATATAAATAAACGATTTTTTTTCTTTTTTTTCTGTGTTTATTTGCTTATCAATATTTGTTATTGGTTTTTGGCTAAGATTTTTTTATATAAACTAGTTGAGAACAAGATGGACGAATCAATTTCTTCTTAATTCTGGAGAATCTACTAACACATTCCATTTTATATCTATACGGAAGACAGACTGCATCATTTTTTTAACAGTCAAAGGCATCCTTATGAACACGTTAACAGGACATTCCACTACATTTTTATGTTGGTATACGTCGACATGTCTGGCAATTTTTAACAGGTTTTTCGCCACTTTTTGGTAGGTCTGCGCATGGCCAACTGTCCTACTTTTTTTCTTGCCTGCTGAAGACGATTTCTTTGGTAGAAAAATAAAGTTTCCCTATTTTGCTATTTTTTTTAACTATTTAGAAAATGAACAGATCTCCTGACTTTCGATTCAACGTTTTTTTTTATTCTGACTCATTCAAATAACCATTTATCTAGCGAGTTGAAAGAGTATTATTTTAAATAGGGAAAAAATATTCTTTACGATAAAGGAGAAAATATTTTTGTCATCCACAAATTTTTGTTACCGGTTTATTGTACACATACGATTCTTTTGCACCTTTTACTCGCTGTATGACGTATATGTTTTCAATCTTTAAGAGCAACTGTATAACGATTAATGTTATGGAGATATACGTAAACTAATCGGATTTGCTCATTCTTTAATCGTTTTTATAGCCGCTTATTTATAGAAAAAAACATTTTCCTTAAACGAGATATTTAATTTACAATCATAGCGACAACGATAAAATAAGTAAGCTGATAAAGTAGCTGAATAAATAGTCTACTTTTAAGGGAGATGCTACATATATTTTATGTTTTCGATCATCTGATACATTATCTTCCAAGGAAAATGGAAAAACTAAGTTTCATATATTCCACTTTAACCTGTTGTTTTTGGCTCAAGTTACCAAAATGAGCCAGCTTAAGTCGTAACCAGTTCAGAAAATTCGATAAGATTTTGAGACCAGAGCCAAATCTTTCAGTTAAAAATCGAAGTGATAGAAAATACATAAATATATGTCATTCGATCTCATTTTTTACGCACATTTCAGATACTACCTTCGTTTCGCCCTAAAAGACTGCTTTAGTGGCGAAAATTAGGAAATACCACTAAAAATCCTTTAAATGTGAATACTTAGAAAAAGCGTATTTTTGCTCATTGAAAGTTTCATCATTCTATAAAGCGTAGAAATCAGTGTATATATAGTATCCTTTTCTCATTGTTGTTAGACGATAGTGGAAAAAATAGGATGAAAAGTTAATGCTTTTTCTGATTTTAGAGTCCGTTCCGGAAGTTTTCAATCTATTAATGTAAACGAATTCTGTTCCGAAACATATATTCTAAAAGAACAGTCATTTTTCCACATTTTAGACTTCGTCAAAACAAAAAGCATTTTATGTGTACAGGATAAACTTTCAAAATACCTTTTAATGAGATCTTCTCACGAGGGAACTGCCCCAAGTGTCCGCTCGCTTTTTTGTTGAAATCTAGTGGAGAATAGGTTATCGACTATGCTGATTCCGAATATGACAATGGTTTTTGCTGCTAGGCCTTCGAAGACCTGG